GATAGGTTCCGGGTCGGGGGAACCTGGGGTTAGCAGGGTGGATGTCGTTCTTCTTTTTCGTTTGATTTCATCCATAGTCGGATCTTGCTCTTCTGTATGATGACTGCTATGTATTGATGTATTGTTGTATGAATGTTGTAGCTTGTGGCGAGTGTAAGCCTTTATCTTGTATTCTCATCTATTCAGTACATGGTATGTTTTAATGATATTCACCTTGCTATGCGCTCAAAATACGGTTGTGCCCCAATCATGAATTCATCATGTGATTGGGATAGAACCACATCTTGGGCGCTACAGCTCCTTCCCACACCCAAGTGGAAGCCCCATGCCCCGCATTGGCGAAACGATCGATCTATGATCATGCCCACAGCCAAGTGGAATCCCCATGCTCCATGCTGGTGGATAGTCAACTTATGGTGCCCCATGGAACTTACCCTCTCCTGTGGCATGCGCTCGCAGCTCCCTCATGTGCTTCACGTGAGCGGGGGCTGGACACAGTGCCTGCGCTTGGGTCAGTCCCATCAGCACTGAGAAACCCAGGGTACCGGGCTATGGCTCGCGGGCCTTCTCCCATGCATGTCACCCCACAGGGTCCCTAGTGTCTGGTCTCCTCGCGTAATGCCCATGCGCAAGCTTGCGAGCGTGTCGTTCAGCAAAACTATTGTGTACAGGTTCCCCTCAGGAGTGGATTGTCGGGAGGTCTCGCGAGGTGTGCCCTGAGGGCAATGGACCACCGGCGCTACATAGAGCTAACACTAGTGGTTGGGGCGCACCCATGGTGCGCCGCCTCAGAGGAAGCTGGGGCGGTGCTAGGTAGGATGTGGCCCTTTCGCTTTCTTATCTGGACTAAGTATTGTTATTGGATCAGACTCAAAGTAGAGGAATATGAAAGTAGTTGTACATGCAACTTGATGACTGGAATAATAAGACAGCAGTGCAAATGCAACACATTCAGAGAATAGGCTGGCACCAGGGAACGACCCTTTCAGTTTCCTTTTTGGATCTGGATACGAAATTCTTGATAAACTTATTATATTTATACATCACGTGAGAAAGAAAATAATATTCCATCACAGACAACACACAACAATTATAATACCATCGACAGAAGCATCTTGCTGCATGGCAACTAATAAGATACAACAATAGAAATTGCGCATGTGTAGGCCCCAACGGCGGTGGTGTGCCTCTGATGCCTCCGACCGTGTGGTGACTATGGGAGAAGCTCGCTCACCTCATCCACTATGCGCTTCATCACCCGGTGCACGTCGCCAATGACTCGCCACATCCTTGCCAGCCTATACATACAACACAGCAACAAGAAACATCGATCAAACACCTGCATCATCAGGGTTCTTGAGAGGGGGAGGGCGATCGAGCAGCCTATAATAAATACACGTACATTTGGAGGAGGAGTCGCAGATGACAACTACCCTCCGGGACACGTCTTTGACAAAGGCGACGGTGATGTTGAGCTTGGTCCGGAGATTCCTGATGGTAGCCCTGGTCCTCTCGATGGTGAACGGCTCTGCACCGTTGGCATCCTAGGTCCTCAGTTGCGTGCACTTTTTCTCATACAGCAGCGGAACGCACTCCCCTTCCTGCATACCCATTCATATCTTTTCCTTGAATTAAGTGCACGCATTACCCGAGAGACAACCATTTGATAAGCAAATCCATTTGGAAAAATCAAAACTGAGACGACAAAGCTCTAATGTCAAGTCAGTGATTATTAACAAAAATAAACATGATGGTGCCCTTAGGTATATTTGACAACAAATAATAAGAAATATTAAGTAGAAGTACTCGGTAACAAGCCATAAGCAGTTAAGAACTAATCTTAGAACTGACATTGCCATATACTCCCTCCGTTCCAAATTACTCGTCATGGTTTTAGTTCAAATTTGGACTAAAACCACGACGAGTAATTTGGAACAGAGGGAGTATAATGGATCAGGTGTATTTCCAATAAGACTTCACTTTTATTTCATTTGTCAAGAAGTCAAACTAAAGTGGAGAATATCTCTTATATTACATATTTCTTGACCAAAACGTTCTAACAGGCAATGCAGGCAAGAGGTAGTTGATCTCCTTGCACCAAAAGTTCAACAAATCAATTTGCAAACATAAGAGCTGAGGTAAAGCTCCAAATAATGTGGTTAACCTTTTCTTAATTAACACAAGAATATACAGAAAAAGGGACATCCTCATGAATAGCAGCAGAAGGGAAAGCCTAAATGTTTTCTCCAAACTAACGACCCAAAGTACTGAAGTAACCTCTTAAAATTTTCTTGGACAACTGAACTGTCATATATTTTAACCACAAAAAGAAATGACAGTACAGACTATACCTTGACTACAGTATGCTATCAAATATGTACCTACCAACATAAAGTTTTGGAGTGGTCACTCTCAAGATATTTGCTGTACAACATAAAACTTATTTTAATCTCATTACTTGAGGCAAAAAAATTGAAGGTACATATGAAATATCAAGACTACATAGCTGACTTATATGGACACCAGTATGTACAAAAGTTATCATATATAAAACATTTAGAAAAAAAATAATAGCTATTGATCTGAAAACTTGATCGACAAACACAAATAGGGTAATGCTAGCTAGTACCTTTGAAATGCAGAGAGGGGTATTCAAGATGGGATGGGATAGGATTCATCATCAAATGGATCCATAAATGCTTCATTGATGACCAACCTAGCTTTTCTTGTTTAATGAAATGAATGTTCAGATTGTAAAACTGCATGGGCACTTGTTCAGTTTAGTGCAAGACAACAGTCAGAATCCGTTCAACAAAAGCCAATCAGAGGTAGTACACGTTATCTATCTATCTATCTATCTATCCTAGTTATACTTGCACACTAAATCTACTTATCCCCTTTTTCTTTTGAGAAAATTCCATTTTTGCCTCGTCGATCGACACAAGACCGCGGTCGAAACCAGGGTCTACACGTATCCCCTCGGCCTCAACCACTTCACCGATCTCACCGGGAAGGAGATGGTGCTGCAAGTGTCAGCTATATCTATTATTTTACATTGATCTAGAAGCCATCTTGGTTAAAAGTTGCACTTCCCATTCGCTGTATGAGCATAATTCCGTTGGTTATTTTCTGCGACTGGTTCTGAACCGACCTGATTGTTGGTAGGCGTTAGTAGTTGGTACATGATTTCACGTAGTTCTCCTTTCTTACAACTCTTTGAACCTGGTTTGTGCGGCTTAGAAAAACAAATACGTTTAGATGACCACATGCTAAGAATTTTTCGCAGATAATCAGTATCTGGTATATATTCTATTGGTACCTCTTTTCACCCGACATCTAAAGAAAATATAATAATTTGAGCTAAGTGCAACACAAAATAAAATAGAGTATCTGCCAATTAGTAGTACTGGTCATCACTCTGAAATAAAAGTAGCACAAAAGCTCACTGCCGATGCACACACACCAATGAAATGCTAATCTGCCCTTTCTTATGCATGATCTAGTCTCTTTCACATGAAAGTTACAATGGGATTTAGAGGGAGGGGCTGGAGGGGGAGAAAAGTGAGAAAGATGACCTTCGTCGGGAGGCTCCTGTAGTGCAAGCAGTCATCGCAGAGCATATAGAGCACTCCCAACTCCTACAACAATTACTCAGGGTAAACCAAACTCCAAAAAGTTGTCCTCACAATAATCCAAACTCCTACAAAATAATACAACAAGTATTTGCTTTAGCATATGATGCGTACAGTTTGAGAAGAATTCAAAACTATCATACAAAATCTTGCAATTCTTCCTACTCTACTAAGCATGTAAAATCGGTGATGTAAAAGAACGAATGGAAGTAATCAATGCATATTTCTGAACCATCATCAAATGAAAATAATGATGTTTTTGAGAATGTAGCCACTAAAGTAGTTAGGAAAATAGATTAGCTCCTTCTAACAACATACATATATTATCAGGAAGCATCAAGCACATGTTAAACTACTAAAGTGTCTTGCCGCAGAACATTAAAAGAAAAATCTTTATTGCCCTCCTACTTTGTTGAACTGGATTTGCCAGCTACTTGGGTGCTTGGTTTGAAAAAAAGTATTCATCAAATAGCAGCGATATAAACCTATTATGTCCAAACAAAAATTTGTCAAGGCGAAAAATGGCATACTGCATAAGACAACAATAATAACTGAACCTGAAGTTGCTGACCCAAGTCTTAAAAGAACACCTAAATCACCATGATGTTTCAACTCCAAAATGGGTGGTTTAATTGAGACCAAAATATCTTAAGCACACAGGAATTAAGAAAAAAATTAGCATAAAGTAGAACATGCTTATCACAATAATGGTAGGTATTTGATGGAACCAAGCAGTCCAAATTGGAGCTTTGACTCTCCCCAAGGCTCCTCTCTAATGATTTACGCCACAAGAAACAATTCTGTATATCTATCTCGCCCAAAGCATCACCCATGGGGCTGTGGTTCCCTTGGTTTATTTGCAAGCATCAAAGCAGGCTTCAACATGTATGTATGCAATTTTTCAGGGGATGTAAACTACACAATGGTCTACAAAAGACTTGATTGATGTGTGGCCAGTCGCATTGACTAAGAAGGTGTGGCATCCATAAAGAAAACACAAGGGCGAATAACAGATCATTGTGAACCACGAACCACAAGCAGCAGAATAGATTGAGCAATCAGACCACAATCATAACCACAGTCTGAATAAAAACAAACACATGACGTGTGAAGCATACATAGTAGCAAGTATATACTCAAATAACAACAGATAACCAACTGTAAAACACATAGAAAAGAATTAAGAGGGTCAAGAGGAATAAGTGTGATACCTCAACATGAACCAAAGACTAAATCCAATTTCTAAATGTGAGAACGATCATTGTAGCACATGCAAGGAGGCACAAAAATTGATCTTCCTCCTGATCAGCGACTTAGCCTTTGTGGCAACCGCTGAAACATTAGTTGCTGATGCTTGTTTTAGCCTAGTTATGGAATCATTATGCTCAGCGCTCCCTCTTGAGCCCTTCTCTCCATCGGTAGGTATGTTTTCAGCACCGTTAGGTCCTACAAGACAAAGAGATGCCACAGAAAAGGAGATCAAATGATTAAAAATTGAACCACCAAGAGGATTGGCCTATGAAGCTAATTATGTTTCTAAATTCTGGCCCTCTCTTTAATGACTGCATTTTCTAATTTATACGACTCTGTTTACTTCACTATGGTCAGATACAACAAAGCTCTCATCGGGCCATTCTTAACATGAAATATCTTCACCTTCATGTAAGCACAAAGTTGATTATGTTCTTAGCCATTTCTACCATGAGGCATATGTTCAGAAGAGCTGACCCTTTCTTGCAAGTTAACAAACTGCATAGGCACACATCTGTTGTTCCGCTGAGTTGACAAAAAAAATTTGGAATCCACATGTTGGGGAAAACAACACAATTAAATGACAAGGCATTTATTTTACCCAAAGCAAATTATATGCTTTTCCTGAGATTGCTGCTTCTGCTTATTATGTTTTAATCCTAGCTTTCATCCCAACATTGATAGGAATGGCCAAAATTGAAATAGGAAATTGCTTGGTTAAGAAAAGATAGAGACGTGTGAGTGTATCCTTCGTTCTTAGGGAAACAGAGAGTTCCTAGGGATCAATACTATTACCTAACTGACTTTACCAACAGTTTCCCAAACACCACCATACTGGTTCATGCCCAGAACTAAAGCCACCTTTTAACTGCTATCTTCATGATGCAAGTCCTTGAGGGTCTCCACTCTCCAGGTTCCTTCGCTGCATCTCGTCCTATGCGCCGTCGTCAGCGAGGGGTGATATAGAAATGCCAATCAATCAGACCTAAACCCAAACTCTAACAAACGAAACAAGGGAACAAGTCTCATGAGATTTCCTGCTTGGCTCCGCGGAAGCAAGGGGATCTAGGTTTGGGAGGGTGCGGCTTGCCTCGAGGACGCAGATCTCATTGTTGACAAGGCGGGAGGCCCGGACGACGTCCTCCGTGGATATTGAGACCAGCTGGTCGTCATCCGTGCCGTCGACGGCCATCGATGGTCTCTTCCACCGAGGCCCCTGCAGCCGGCCGCTGCACCGACCCGATGCTGCAGCTCCTCTTCGTCTTGTTCGACCACTACAACCGCGACAAGGAGGTCCATGAATTGGAGCGACAACCGACGAGGAGACGCGCAGAGGAGGAGGCCGGCGGCATGGTAAGAGGAGGGGTACAGAGGAGGAGGCAGGCGGCATGGGGAAGAGAAGGGGCTCGGAGCAGGCGCGGATGCAGAACGAGGTTGGCGGTGCAAGGAGAATCGAGGGAGAGGAGAGAAGGCGGCGGCGAGGGAAGAGGGTCTCGACCCGTCATGTGGAGACCCTGGGCTAGGTCTTGCCCAAGTGCTTTTGTCTCCTATATGTACTACCGTCTCATTTTTTTTCTATCGATAGCACAGTAAAAGGACACGTAGGCATCGCGGTTACTCGCCCTTTGCGCGACTCTTAAAGGGTTTAATTTTCCCTCACGCGACCTGCTTGCGTGTTAAATGAGGGCTCCTAAGCATCGCGTCTCACGAGTCTTCACTAGTTCACGAAGCCCCTCACCTCCTGGCTTTGTCTAGGCATCACGACCTGACATTCCAGCGACGGGTGAGGTATGCACGGGGCTGGGCCTTGTCGACGCAGAGCACAAATGCAAGCAAGAGAGAAAACGAGCATGGGAAGGAAACCCGCAGATCATAAACAGTTATTACAAATTTCAAGTGTTTCACAAATTAAAACGTTGTCAGACGCCTCCGTGAGGCAGAGTTAGTCTATTGTAGGATGATAAAGAAAACTTCCAGAAGAAGGGTTGTCATCGCCATCGCCGTCGCCCACCACGGTCTCGACGGGTTCCCCGTCGCCGCTGCAGGAGAACCTCTCAAGCAGCAAGCTCACATGGCCTTCCACAGCTTTTGCCAGGACTGCGTGAGATCCTTCAGGGACAGGGCCTATCACCTCACCGAAGTTGAAGCCAGGATCATGGAGGAGGAGGTGGCTAAAGACATGGGTCGCCGCCATGGAGAAGACGTCACGACACTCCTCCTCCAGGATACCGTCCACCTTCCGGGCCATTTCCTCGACTTCGTCCACAAGCTTGGAGGAGAGCTCAGCGTAGCCATTGCCGTGGCCGGCAAGAGGAGCCTCTAACTTCTCCCTACATATGGAACTCAAGGCCTGGCAGGCCCTAAACTCAAGAGAAGAAAAGGTGGTGTGGTCCTGCACAGCTTTCACGTCGGCGTCAGCTTGGATCTTCTTCTCCCTGGCGTCAAGCTTCGTGTTGGTCTGAGAGACGTGCTTGGCATGGACCTCTTGGGCGTTGGTCACCTGGCCTTGCAATGCCTCCTGACGACCGTGCTCCGCGACCTATTCGGCCGCTACCTTCGCCAACCCAGAGTCGCGATCCGCGAGCTTCGTCTCGCGGGCCTTGAGGTTGTCTTCCCACAGCTGGAGCAGCTGCGCCTGCGCGGTCCGTTTGTCTTGAAGTGCCTTCAGGCCGGCTTCCGCTTCTTCGCAACGCTTGGTGGCCGCCCCTACCTCGGCGAGGGAGCTCTCGAGAGCCGCCTTTGCCCAGGCGGCCACCTCCATGCTCTCCATGATGGCGGCATCAGCCCGTGCATGTTTTTCTTGAGCGGTAGTGTTGAGCTGACGCCACCCTGCCGCGAGCCTCAGGTGCTCGTTGGCAAGGCGCACCTCGGCTTCCTGCAAGTCCACCCCGAGCCGATCGAGCATGGACCGAGCATCAGCCAAGGCCCCACACCTGAGAAAGGTGCCGCAGTTCACAATGGCGAGAGCTTGGCAGGGCAGCAGCGTCCCAGAGCCCGTCGTCGCCACGACCGAAGAGGCCCGGGCGTCCTCCGCCTGAGGCACATGGGGCTCAGGGTCGTTCCCCGTGCTCGGCTCACCTGGCGCACCTGGGGGGGATTGCCACATCGATTCCCTGAGCTGCGGGAGTAGGCACAGCTTGAGGTTGCCCCGTGGCGCGCCCTGCGTCGTGCTCAGATGCGGGGACAAGACAGTCGGCGGGGGCTGTGACTCCCCGTCCTTATCCGCAAGTCGAGCCTTGGTGGCCTTAGCAGTTGGCGTCGGCGGTGTTGGGAGTTGGTCTGCCACGGCTTTGGTGGTTGGCACCGACGGTGCTGGGGGTTGCCGTTGTGGCTTTGGTGATTGAGCCTCTAGCACCATTGTGACGCCAGCGCGCCCGAGCGCGATTCCAGGCCAGTGCGAGGCACCCCCGCGGCTACCGAAGCTACGACCGAGTGCCGACGTCCCTCTCAGAATGGAGGGCACCTTCGCTCCAGTCATTACCTTCTTCCTGTTCTCCTCGCCGCCGCCCTGGCTCCTACATGGGTGTCACGTCTGACGAGGCGACCCCGCAGTCACCGCAAGGCACTGACGAGCTGGGGCCACAGGATAGGAAGATTGGAGCTGAGCAAGAAGCTGAAACTCTTACAGGCGGGCCCGAAGAGGCAGAGTAGTAGGTGTGCGTGGGTTGGCTGCGGCCGTGCTGTATTAAAGTCTTCAGGCTGGGTGTGAGTGGGTATCGATGAACACGCAATTAAACAGATCGAGAAGCTGCCCTTCTCTTATCGGCCTCCTTTCCTTTTCTCCCAGATCCCCTCTCCCTGCCGATCCTTCTCTCTCACCTGCCCTGTAGATCGGTGCTGTTACAAGTGGTATCAGAGGTCCAGTCGATCTGGAGACTGCGTACCCCAAGCCGCGCTACCAGACCAAGCAGGCGAAGCAAGCGGCGGCGATGGACCAGCAACTCGCGGATCTGATCTGATCCGTCAACAAGGGGTGTGCGGTGAACGACGCTCGCCTGGAGGCGATCTAGGCATCCCTCGAGCTCTGGAGGCCGGCGGTCTCCAACCTGCAACGCGAGCTCGACGAGCTCCGCACCCAAGTGGGACAGATCGCCCTCCATCCGGCACTCGTGACGCAGGGCGAGGCGGTGGAAGAAGTGTTGGTGCCTCCGGCACCGTCTCCTCCAACGACGGGCCCCGAGCACCACGGGCCAAGTGGCCACGGCGAGATCATCAACTCCGGGGGTGGGGCTCACGGGGTAGTCACTACCCTGCAGCCGCCTCCGATCAAGGGTACGTACCAATCCCCGTCGGAGAATTACGCATCTGTAGGAGTTGGGCCGAGTCGCATAATTAGTTGGGAATCGCCACACGCCACGCAGCAGTCACCACACGCGCATCAATGGGCATTGCCGAAATTGGATTTTCCCCAATTCGACGGCGAAAATCCACAGTTCTGGAAGTCCAGATGCGAAAAATACTTCGATGTCTACGACATTCAACCCGATATCTGGGTGCGTGTAGCCACCTTACACTTAACAGGCACCGCAACTCGCTGGCTGCAGTTGCACGAGGCGGTGAGTTGTCTATCCACTTGGGAGGGTCTGTGTGCAGCCCTAAAGGAGAAGTTTGGACGGGACCAGTACCAAATGCATCTTTGTCAGTTTAACATGCTAAAACAAACAGGGTCCGTAGATGAGTATATGGGGCAATTTGAGGAGTTAATGCATCATATACTCGCTCATAACTCTGGGTTCGACCCAATCTATTTTACAACTCAATTCCTAGATGGGTTAAAAGTTGAAATTCGTGCTGGAGTTGCTTTACACCGGCCCCAAAACTTGGACTCTGCGTTTTCCTTGGCCTTGTTGTAGGAAGAGCTGGTGGAGGTGATGCCACGGCGGGAATACATGCGGTATGATCCAGCACCACCAAGACCTCCAGCGCGGCCAGCACCTGCGGTGGCTGTGCCAGCAGTGCCACCGCGCGTACCGTTGCCTGCTCCACAAGCTACAACGGAAGATCGCCGAGCGATGGACGTCGCGCGTGCAGCGGATCATCATCCTGAACTAGGGCGAGGTGAAGACTGTGTAGCTGCACTGTGCAACTACTGCAGAGCAAGAGGACTGTGCTTCAAATGCGGCGATCGCTGGGGCCAGGGCCATTAGTGCGCGGCCACTGTCCAGTTACATGTAGTGGAGGAACTCCTCGAGCTATTGCAAGCAGAAGAGCAAGACAGGCACGAAGCAGAATCTGATTCAGAGGAAGAGGTGCTCATGTCAATCTCGAAGTTAGCCACGACAGGGCAAACCACTCCACGCACAGTACGTCTGCTGGGACAGATTGGTGAACATGAAGTGTTGATACTGGTGGATTCAGGCAGCTCCCACAGTTTTGTCAGTGAAGAGGTGGCGATAAGTGTAGCAAGTCAAGTGCAAGCGATGGCACCTGTGTCAGTAAAGATAGTAGATGGAGGAGTACTGTCATGCAACGGGTACATACATGCTTGCAAATGGACGACGCAGGGGCACCAATTTACCACGGATTTGCGGGTACTATCTTTGGGCTGCTATGACATGGTGCTTGGAATGGACTGGCTAGAACAATGTGGACCGATGCTAGTGGATTGGGGAGCTAAAACACTTCAGTTTCAGCATGAAGGGAAGAGCATTCTGCTTCAAGGCCTGACAAACGCGTCCCCAACAGTGGTGGCAATATCAATGACAGAGTTGCAGGAGTTAGAGAACAGTAATTCCATTGCTCACGTGGTAATGATGAGTATGAGTGAAGGGCAAGTTGAAATTACACCAGTACCAGCCACTATTCAGCAAGTCCTAGACGAGTACCAGGACCTGTTTCAGGAGCCGACAGAGTTGCCACCGCATAGAGAGTGGGACCATGCCATTCCCTTACTGCCAGGAGCAAAACCAGTGAATCTCAGGCCATACAGGTACACACCAGAACAGAAAGACGAGATCGAGGCTCAAGTTAAAGAAATTCTAGCTAAAGGGCTTATTACCACCAGCACCAGTCCGTTCGCGTCCCCAGTTCTGCTGGTGAAAAAGAAGGATCAAACATGGCGACTGTGTGTGGATTTCAGACATCTGAATGCACCGATAATTGAGGAACTCCTGGACGAACTAGCAGGGGCCTGCTGGTTTTCCAAGATGGACCTGCGGGCTGGGTACCACCAGATCAGGTTGGTGCCAGAGGATGAATTCAAAACCGCATTCAAGACGCATATGGGTCACTTCCAATTCAAAGTTATGCTGTACGGTCTTGCTTATGCCCGAGTCACATTCATGGGAAATATGAACACTGTGTTGGCCCCAGTCAACCGCAAAGGAGTTGTGGTTTTCATGGACGACATCTTAGTCTTCACAAAAACGTTGGAGCAACACAGAGTCCTTC